TGTTTAATGTATTATTGCTGGGATTTGGTGTTCCTCTATAACTGGTCAGTGGTATTCTGCATTGCGCCGTATAATCATTATACAGCACACTGCAGAACTCCACCAGCTATAGAGGACTACAAATCCCAGCAATAGTACATTATATACAGCGCAATGCAAAATAACACCAGCTATAGAGGACTACAAATCCCAGCAATAGTACATTATAGTATAGTATTGCTGCGATTTGCTGTATTCCTCTATATCTGCCGTTATTCTGCAGTGCGCTGTATAATGTACTATATTGCACACCAAACTATTTTTTTTTTTACTTCCACCACTCCAAACTTGCTCCTGTGATGGACTACAATCTCAATACAAGCTAGTAGTCCATCACTGGAGCCATTTTAAAAAAGAAAATCTGATTAATCGATTATTCAAGCTTAATAATCGGCTAACTAATCAATTTTGAAAATAATCGTTAGCTGCAGCCCTAGTTTATATTATGATCCCGGAGACATAATTTGTCTTGGGACGGTCTCCTCAATCCGGGGACTGTCCCCAGAAATCAGGGATAAATGTAGGGCTGCAACAACTAACTGACCAAGTTGATTATAATCGATGATTGAAAAAGTCTTCAACATTTTCAATCATTGATTAATCAGCTTTCATTTAGTTGGCCCTGGTCACGGCTCCACACACGCCACGCGCCGCACCTCCTCCCCACCTCATGCTTGCCGCTGCTAGACCCGCACGTTCCACACGCCGCACCTCCTCCCCCCTCACGCTTGCCGCTGCCAGACCCGCCAGCCCGTATCCATGCTCCACACGCCGCACCCCCTCCCTGCCTCACGCCGCTGCCAGACCCGCCTGCCCGTATCCACGCTTCACACGCCGCACCTCCTTCCCGCCTCACACTTGCCGCTGCCAGACCCGCCCGCCCACATCCACGCTCCACACGCCGCACCGCCTCACGTTTGCCACTGCCAGACCCGCCCGCATCCACATGCATCACCTCCTCCCCGCCTCACGCTTGCCGCTGCCAGACCCGCCCGCCCGCATCCACGCTCCACACACCGCACCTCCTCCCTGCCTCACATCACCCGACCATTCACACTACCGTTACATGGATGGCAAAAGTGGCAGACGGGCAAGGAGAAGGCGGGGGGAAGAGGCAGAGCGGGAGGGAGGCCAAGTTGCTGCACCATGGGCCTCTAGGTTGTATTTGCCCCCTGGGCTAAAAGTTGCCAGTCAGCCCCTGAATCTCAGTCTCTTTGTTGTTACTTCCGTGGGCTAGGGAAGGGCTAAAAGCTTCAAGCAGGCTGACAGCCTCCTGGATAGTCAAGGTCATACCTCCGGCCTACAAATCGAAAGGACTGGCTATTCCAGAAGGGGTGTCCACTCATTCCACGCAAAGTATCTCTACATCCTGGGTAGCTGCCAATAGGGTATCGCTGGAGACTATCTGCAAGGCAGCCACATGGTCTTCTGTACATACTTTTGTGTCTCACTATTGTATAGAGCCTGCAGCCTGGACCACTGTAAAGTTTGGAAGGAGAGGTATTACCTCTGCCTCTGGGGGGGGGGAGTGTGAATAAGTGTTAATTGAACATTCCCTCCCTGGTTGTGTGCTAGCTATTTCCCGTGTGTAACATGACGCTGACAGGAAAATTGTATTTCATACTTACTGGCAATTTTCCTTTCCTGTCTAGCTCCATGGCAGCACAATACCGCCCATTCGAAGTTGTCTAGTTACAGAACGTTGGGCTCAGGGTCTCTGTTGAATTTATGAGTTATGGTCCTGGTTAGTGGGAGGAGAGAGTGGGATTAACCCGTTAGTGTGCTGCCATGGAGCTAGACAGGAAAGGAAAATTGCCGGTAAGTATGAAATACAATTTTCCAGTTTTTTTACATACAGCCAACTTCCTGTACAGTAATCTTATAAAAATTGTTTTTGCAGCCAAGTTGAAGTTAATTACGACCAGCAGCAGACTGACAGGTCAGTAGAATATCCACTTATAGAAATAATTTTCATCATTTTAAATAATCTATTTTATTTTGGATGCTATGTGAAATTATCTTTTTTTTTTTTTTTTTATAATTCTTGTTTTTTATTGAGCAGTGCAAATAGAAAGTACAAGTAAGTAGTCAACATCAGTTATCAACATCAACTTATAGGTGGTCGCAGTGAAATTATCTTAATATTTTTGACTTTATTGTTGTTGCATTTTTCAAAGCAGGGGCTCACATTTAGGTGGCTGAAATGTTTGGATTTCATAATTTAAGGTTATATCATATAAAGTGATATGAATTTTAATGTTAGGCACTCTTGTCTTTTGTGGTAATTACAACGTACAACACTAGATACCTATTAATTACTTCTTTGTTGTTATTTTTGTAGACAGTATTCTATTCTTAAAGGAGAACTATGAGGTGAGTGAAAATCACTCATCCTCATAGGTCAAGCCAATCAGCCAGCTGGGTGGATCTTGACAGTAATGTCGGGATCTGTCCCGGCTGCGGTGGTCTCAGTATACCGCGAGCTGTAGCTCGCTATATACTGAGCTTTGGGTCACGGGAGGAGGTTAGTATATGTCCTCCCATGACCCTTAGGAGAACTATGGGGAAAAACAATTACCCCATAGGTCTCTTTTAATTGTACTGTACACAATGTATTTCTATTTCAGCTATCAAAATGTTTAAATTGGCTGAATGGATTTTTCAAGTTTTCTTAATGTGATTTCATGCTGATCTGAGTCCTAACAGATTGTTCTTCCTCTCATGCAGAGTGGAAAAAGGAATATATGGAGTCAATGAAGGAGGATTTCCAGCGGTTTAAAGAACATACTGCTCGTAGGGGGGAGACAATTAGCTTACAGAGAATATACACCAAGTTACAATTTATAAGGAGACCCCAGATTATGGAAGAAAATGAAATGGAAATATTAAATTCAGGCAGAAGACAAGTACAGAACATGCAGAAAACATCAGACGATTGTTTCCCAACCACAATTCAGAGTCTGTTTGATCCAGATGAAGATGGTTTCATCCCAAAGATTGTGGTGCTACAAGGACCTGCTGGGATTGGGAAAACTATGACCTCCAGGAAGATCATGCTGGACTGGGCCTCGGGGAACCTTTACAAAGACAAGTTTGACTTTGTGTTTCATCTGAGCTGTAGAGAACTCAACACTATCTCTAGAAAAATTAACCTTGTTGGACTTTTCTACAGAACATGCAAACTGGAGAGTTCAGATGACCTGGTGTCTATCCTGAAGGATTCCCAAAATCGCAGAAAACTTCTCTTTATAGTTGATGGTTTTGATGAATTGAGATGGACTCTGGTGGTGGAATCAGAGGTTTGTCATGACATTTCTGAGGAGACTGATAAAGAAATACTTCTCCAAAGACTGCTGAGGAAACAGCTTCTGAAACAATCTTCTCTGATCATCAACACGAGGTCAATGGCCCTGGAGAAACTTCACTCATTTGTTGATGATTCACGCTATGTGGAAGTCCTGGGATTTACAGAGGAAGATCGCAAGGTATATTTTCACAAATTATTTCGTAATAAAGATGATGCAGACAAGGCTCTCGGTATAATAAAAGACAACGATATTCTGAATACCATGTGCGCTGTCCCCATCGTATGTTGGATTGTGTGCACTGTAATGAAACCCCAAATAAAACAGGACTTGGACTTACTGCAGTATCAAACAGCCACCTCTGTCTATCTCCTCTACCTGAAGGGTCTAATAAAGTACCATGGTAGGAACCAGCCAGCACAAACCTGCCTAAAGAAACTGTGTGCTCTAGCGAATGAGGGAGTCCTAAACCAGCAAATCTTGTTTGAGGTGGAAGATCTAAACAGACACGGACTTTCTCTTTCTGAGGTTGAGTCTGTATTTCTGAATGAGAAAATCCTTAACCTGGACATTGACACCCAAACCTACTACAGCTTCATCCATCTGAGTGTACAGGAGTTCCTTGCTGCTCTATATTATGTGCTGGATGATGGTGCAGAAGGGGCCATTGGATTGAGAGAGGACACTTCCATCCCGGAGATCTGTAAAGGACGTTCACTCTCAACAATGTGTATAGAACACCCGCATTTAACATTAGCTGTGCGATTCCTGTTTGGGCTGCTCAATGAGAAGGAAGTGAAAAGTTTTTCTAAGAGCACAGGCATCAACATTTCACTCCCAGCTAGATGTGGAATGCAAGAATGGCTTTTGGGAGATTGGCTGTTTCCAAACATATCTACAGGCGACTCCCTGGCTTTCCATTCTACTGAAGCCATATCATGTTTGTACGAGACTCAGGACAAGGACACTATAAGGACAATCATCTCTCGTTCTTCTCATTTAGAACTGCTAGGCACACGGAAGGGTGGTTTCTGGACAGGAGAGAATTGTTCTATACAGTTGTACTATTGCTTGAAGACTTGTGAAAGGCTTCAGGTTCTCTCTTTCACACACCTTATATTGGATCCCAAATACCTGGAAATGTTATCTACAGTAATACACAGATGTCATCAGCTCAGGTAGGTGACAGGGGTGACGTCCAAATGACTGAAATCCAAACAAATTTCCATTATCATGATTGTGAATATTTTCAAGTTTTTAAGCTGCACACGTTTTATGCAACTGTTGAGGTGTGACGGATGTCCTGAGCAGATCCCCAGCCAGCAGAGGCCAATCAAAAAAGAATGTTATGTATACAAAAGATGTACAAGAGTTTAAACAAAAAAAAAATTAAATGTATGATTTCAGAAAAGTATTGCATTTGTTTTTAGCATTTAAGACTATTTAGTAGAGGTGCACCGAAATGGAAATTTCAAAAACGAAATCGAAATAAAAAAAATTGTCAGGCCGAAACCGAAACCAAAAATCTTTTTTATTTGAATTTTTTCAAATATTTTATTTTGATCTATTTTTTATAAACTTTTTTTATATTTATTAATTCATTTTTTATTACATATATTTATTTTTTACTTTACTTTTAGGGGCTTCGGGGGAAATATTAGGGGTCTAAAACTGATATTTTCCCTTTTAAAATAGAAAAAGAGATTGAGGACACAAAGTCCTCAATCTCTTTTCATGCAGCCCCTGTTATAAATGAACAGGAATCCTCTATACTGAGTGTTCCTGTTCATTGATAATATGAGGACAGAGTATGTTCACTATAACCACAATCATGAATGAACAGGAAGTGATGTAGATGTGATGTAGATCACTTTCCATTCATTCATAATTGAGGCTATAGTAATCATTCTCTGTCCTCCATTATCTACAAACACTCAGCGATCACTGATCACTCACTGCTCTCCATCCTGACAGCTGTCACAGGAGGCGGATCGAGCGGTGTAAGGAGGAGAGCTCAGCCTCCTGTGACAGCGCGGGCTGTCTCCGCCCACACACCGCTCTGCCAGACTGTGATAGGAGGCAGAGCGGTGTGGGAGGAGAGACGCCGGCCGCTCACAGCGCTCTCCTCCCGCAGCGCTCGGCCAGCTATCACAGTTTCTCTCCTCCCCGCTGGGACACAGAGCAGCGCCCAGCAGGGAGGAAACAACTCACGGACGCGCCAATGTATCGGCACATTTAGCCAAAAGTGCAATTTTCGGCTGATATGTTTCAGCGGCCGATATATCGGTGCATCCCTACTATTTAGTATTAAAAAAAATTTAACTGTATTTCCACTTTTGCAGTCAAATTCGAGAATGTTTATGTGTTTTAAAATTATTGTAAAAATAAATTCTTTACTTTTAGATGTTTAGTTAGAGCCAGTGTTAATCTTGACAGCAAATTTCATTTTAGTCTTAGCTTTAGCCTTTTGATGAAAATTTATTTTTATTTTTAGTTGTATTTTAGTCATATAATTGTAGTTTTAGTCTAGAATCGACTGGAACAAAAATTCCAGTCGATTTTAGTCTACTAAAATCTAATGGGTTTATTTTTAGTGTAATGCATTATTTAGGCAATTCTCTAGAATTTCCAACCTAATTACATTATATATTCCTGGAGTAAACCTCTATTAACCTGTTATTACTTATGGTAATAAAGGAGAACTATGGGGTCAGGGCTTTTCCCCATAGTTCTCCTAAGGGTAACGGGAGGACACAAATTAGAGTTCTCCTGTCACCCAAAGCTCAGTATACCGCGAGCTGAGACGGCGCAGCTGGGACAGATCCCGACATTACTGTCTGGATCCACCCAGCTGCGTGAGTGACAGCTGGCTCTGCCTATCTAGAGGCAGAGCCAGCTGTACCCGCCCCCTCCCCAGTCCATTCCGCCAGTCAGCGCTGGAGGATCGGACAGGGGAGGGGGGATTTCCTGCAGGGAGCCGTGAGTGACAGTCACCACTCTCTGCAGGGACAAGATCGAGAAGTGAGCGAGCGACGGTATGTGTTCGCTTACTTCCCGATCTATTGAGCCGACCTGTGACAGTTTCATTGTCACGGGTCGGCTAGAATTATGAGGCTGAGTGATTTTCACTCGCCTCATAGTTCTCCTTTATAGTTTGAACATGCAATACACAGATTTAGCCGTTGTGATATAGAACATCTTAATTTAGGAAAAAATGGTATACTTACCCATCGGTAATTTTCCTTTCCTGACGCCAATACATGGCAGCATACAGGACCCTCCCATGGCTTTCGCATTGAGTACTTGTTACGAGAAAGGTGGCCTTGGGAGGCGGGCTTTAATTTATAGTATAACTTGTCCTGTGATTGGGGTGGGGGCGGAGCCATACCCATTGTATGCTGCCATGTATTGGCATCAGGAAAGGAAAATTACCGATAGGTAAGTATACAATTTTCCGTTTTGTAGCTCTTCACATCACCACCCTCTGCCTATACACTCCTCACAATTCCTCTATTTCACAATGGCTCATGGGAAATGTAGTCAGCTCTCTATGCCAGGATATGACACGCACTGGTTACCTAGATCCTCCCACTGGCTACAGGAAGGACTGACCTGTGCATAGGAGGATGTGACATCACGGGCAGCTAAAAACGAGAATTACAAGAAAAGTAAGAATGTGTATGATAAATTGTTACAGCAGTTTGCTTCTTCTGACTGAGAGGGATCTAAATATGTAAAGTTATGTGCATCCTGGAGTTCTTCTTTAAGCAATTAAAACACACTTAAAATGGAAGCCGCGGTTGTTAAATATTTTTTTTTAAGGTATGATATGTTAATGGCAACAAGTAACAAATATAGAGTGGTTGTTACCCCAATTTGGCTGCAAAATTGGAAATGCAATTTAGGATGGGTTTCATAGCACTATATACAGGTAAAATAATCACATAAATAAAATAATAATAATTTTAAAAAAATGATGGCTTCTTTGGAAATACAAGTTCCAGGGAATCTAATGCCTCTGCAGGAATTAAATATATTGTTAAACCATAAAGACTGCCGTTCAGAAGTTCTGCTTTAACAAGGAACTCAAGGCAGAAAATTAAACCAATCAATGATCTGCTGGAAAATAGGTCTATTGGCCTGGGTGAGGGTCCCACTCTGAACATGGCAAGTTTGGGTAGGGCAGGGGCACACTTTGGCAATTTTTCTTTGGATTAAAGAGAATCTTGTTGTGCCCATTGGTTGTTGAACCTCACTTTTAATCTATTTCTTCTAGTTTTCAGTATGTAAAAATGCATAGTGGAGACTCCCCATTAGAGGACAAACTATTAAACTTTACTCAATATGATGAATCTCCAGACAAAGAAGAATTATTAATTTCATCTGCTCATGAAGTACCTGCCGATCTTTCCTGGTTGACTCACCCACAGAGTAATATAAGGACATTAAAGTAAGAGAATCTCCCTTCTCTGCAGAGACATAGAAATGTTAAGTAGGTATTGAACTGGCCTTCTCCCGATCTCCCTTGTAGCCCCAATTCTTTTTCATTCCTGTGGATGGAGATCTATCACTCACCTGCCCACTTTGACTTTGTTTTTCCCTTCTTCTTTGCTTCTTAAATTAAAATGGCTTTTTCTTATATTTAACCAATTTCTTTCCAGTATAGGGGGTTTTGTGATCCTCCTTTAATGCTCTCTTAGGTTTCCAAAGTTGTGCCCGCCATTGTCATCTTGTTCACTACAGGTTCAACCAATGCGGTCTAACTGCATCATCCTGCAATTATATTTGCTCATTTTTAAGAATAAACAAACTACTCACCAGTCTAGATCTATCGGACAACAAGCTACGGGACTCTGGTGTAAAAATCTTGTGTGAGGGACTTGAAGATCCGGGGTGTACCCTGCAAGTGCTGAGGTGAGAATTATGCTATTAATTATATAATAATTTGGAGGATTCTGGAATAAACCTTTTGACTGATGTACTCAGGCGTCCGGGCTGTACCCTACAGGAGCTGAGGTGATAAAAATACAATGAATGCTATACTAATCTGTAGGATTCTGGAATAAAAAATGTTTTTGAGGGTCTTAGGCATCCAGGTTGTACCCTGATCTTAGCATTATACTATAATGCAGGGCTCAAAATTTCAAGTCCTGAGCTACTAGCCAGGCCTTAAGAGGTACTCGCCACCAGTCGCCCCACATGACCCCTACCGTGCCCCGCCCTTAACTCCGCCAGGTCAGTGGTGTGACACAGAGAACAGAGATCAGTAACAATGCAGAGTGCAGAGGCCAGTGGTGTGATGCCGAGTACAGAGGCCAGCAGTGTAATGCAGAAAAAAGCAATGTATCCTCCATGTACCAGGTGTCCTGCTTCTCCCGTGCTGTCCTTCCAGCCAGTAGCAGCTCTGCAGTCTTCCTCCCAGCCTATGGCAGCTGAGGTGGGCGGAGGAAGCTGCAGGATCCGGTGTTCTATCGAAAGCTCCAACAGCCCCCACCATGTCATCCTTTGTGCGCCCCCACCATGTCATCCTTTGTGCGCCCCCACCATGTCATCCTGTGCGCCCCCACCATGTCATCCTGTGCGCCCCCACCATGTCATCCTGTGCGCCCCCACCATGTCATCCTGTGCGTCCCCACCATGTCATCCTGTGCGTCCCCACCATGTCATCCTTTGTCCCCACAGCTTCTTGGAGAGGCACCGCAGCCTCCGACGGCCGGGCCGCTTCTCCCTCGACCCTGGCCACGCCTCCTCGCACACCCGGCAGCGCGCCGCTAATGGGGCCTGAAAGCGAGCTGCCGGGTGTACGCCAATTGCGAGGGGGCGAGTGGAAATTTTGAGCCCTGCTATAATGTATATACCGTGTTTCCCCGAAAATAAGACTTACCCCGAAAGTAAGACCTAGCACTATTTTTAAACATTCCTGTAATATAAGACCTACCCCAAAAATAAGACCTAGTTTGGGGGTGGGGGCGGCCCAGAGATCAACCATAGTACATGGCGGTAACTAACTGCTGCGCCGCCGCCCCCGCATGCCGTCCCCGCATGTCGCCCCTGTCACGAAATAAGCAGACACCTGTCTGCCTCAGCCTTTGCTTAGAGAGCTGCCGCCGGGCAGAAAACTACATTTCCCAGCAGGCAGCAACACAGTGCGGCATGGAAGTATGGCCAGTGGGGTCGGGGTGAGGTGACTGAGCCTCAGTCACTGAGGGAACTTCTGACTGGAGGTCTGTGCAGTCCAGCCTGGCGACGAGAGAGGTGGCTCCCTGGCAGGGATCCCACAGAGAACTGTGGACGGCATCAGAGAAGAGAGCTCCAGGACAGCTGCAGCCTGCAGGTATTGTGACAGTATTTAAAATAAGACATCCCCAGAAAATAAGACCTAGTGTGTTTTTTTGGGGGGGAAAAAAAATAAGACAGTGTCCTATGTTCGGGGAAACACGGTAGTAACCTGCAGTACTCTGGAATAAAATTACTTTGTGAGGGTCTCAAATATTCAAGCCCAGTCTCTGGGCTGTACTCAGCTCAGAGTTCAAATTACCCTGTAAATTATATAATAATCTGTAGACATGTAAGTCAGCGAAAAATGTGTTTTGTTTCGGATTTTTTGTTATTTCAATTTTTCGGGATTCGGGTCCGAAAGTCAATTCGGTTCGGGATTCGGATGAATATTCGTTAATTGTGAACGAATATTCGTTGCAGCAAAGTGCCAGAGAAAAGAAAAAAAATTAAATTTTTTTTTACAGTCCACAGAAACAAAAATCAGAATTAAAAATCCGTACCTTTTGGATGCGTCCATAATTGTCTTTGTCGTAAATTTGGATTTGTTATTTCTGTCATTCGGAAATTCGCATTCATCCGAATGTACGAATTTTTCCAAAAATTCGTACACATTTCAGTTCGAAACGAAACGAATCGCACATGTCTAATAATCTGCAATAAGTGCTTGTGATCTTTTTAGGTATAGTCCACTGCATTTATTTTGCCTCCGCAGAATCCATCAGTGTTATTTGACTCCTATGTGCTGTGATGACCTCTGCTCTCTTCTCATCACAAACCGATCTCTCACCAGTCTGGATTTATCAACAAACCATTTGTGGGACTCTGGAATTAAACGTCTATGTGAGGGACTCGGAGATCCCGACTGCACCTTACAGGAGCTGAAGTGAGAATTACATAATAAACTAAATTATATACAGTAATAATTTGTAGGACTGTATAGTAAAATTCCCTGGGAGAGTTTCAGGCGGTTAAGCAACAATGTTTTTTTCTCTGCAGTATCAAAGGTTGTGGTTTGACTCCCTTGAGCTGTGATGACCTCCAATCTGTCCTTATTGCAAATCGGTCTCTCATCAAACTGGAGTTATCATTCAACCTTCTAGAGGATCCTGGAATAAAACTTATCTATGAGGCATTCAAACATCCAGGCTGTACCCTGCAGGAGCTGAGGTGAGAATTATACTATAGATCAGTGGTCACTAAATGGCGGACCGTGGTCTGGACATGGACCGCCAGGCAGTTATGTCCAGACCACTGTCGCCTACCTGCGATGGGTTATAACTGTCCAACAGTCATTACAACAGCCTCTGAGGCCAGTGCATCCATTTTCAGCCATAACTCAGCACAGGCTCCCCCAAAGGGTCATTACTCGCCGCCCAGCTTCCTAATCAGCTTTAGAGGTGGGATAGGCTGAGGGAGCTCCATTCATATCTGCATTGCTTACAGCTCCCTTGCCCTGCCCTGTAGAGATGCCTGGACCGGAGTGATGTCTCATTCTGGTTCCCAGCACCTCTACAGGGTACACAAGGGAGCTGTACAAGCAATGCAGATATGGATGGAGCTCCATCACTAAGGTGAGGTAGGGAGACTGGGTGGACCTTAAAAAAAAACCAACAAATGTTTTGAAGTGTGTGTGTGAGATCATGTCTGTGGTTGCGTATATATGTCAGTGTTTTGTGGGCCCATTCACAGTAGTAGAATGCGTTAATCACATAGTAGCGTGCGATTAAAGCATTGTACCATGCAATCGCACCTGCTGTGCATTTTGGTGTGGGAGGTGTGTGTTGCATTTGAATGGTACCCCAAACGCACCTCCCACCTACAGTTCGTACGCCCACACTGGAACGCACAGTACCCTAATGTTGTGCGTTCCATTGCAGTGCGACTTGGGTTTGCGATTTAATGACCAAGGACAAATGTGGGTCCTGAGGTTACACAGGTTGAGAACCACTGGCCTAGTGTATCTTTCTATAGATTCCTCCGATTTCAACATGCCTTTTAAAGGAGAACTATGGGGGGGGGGTGCTTTTCACTCCTACTCATAGTTCTAGCTGACCTGTGACAATGAGACTGTCACAGGTTGGCTCAGTAGATCGGGAGGTGAGCGAACACATACCGGCGTTCTCTCACTTCTCGATCCTGTCACGGCTCCATGCCGTGACAGGGGAGGGGCTGGATCCCCCCCTCCCCGCTCGGACGGGGGAGGGGGGCGGGTACAGCTAGCTCTGCCTCTAGATAAGCAGAACCATCTGTCACGCAGCTGGGCGGATCCAGACATAATTGTCGGGATCCGCTTCAGCGTCTCAGTATTCCGCGAGCAGTAGCACTGGGAAGATATCTGCTCTTCTCATTTAGGGGTTCCTCCAGCCATTAATAATAAAATGATACAACTCTGTATTATACACCAGTCATATTTGTCTCCAAAGAGATTATATAAACTGGGATGTCTTTCGTCAACTACTTATCCTAGGTGCTATCAGTGCAATACGGATGTCCTTTATATATTGTGTCATTGCCCTGGGATTTCTGATTATTGGATGCGACTGCTTGATAAACTGTTCGCCATACTCTCTCTAGTCCTGTTCCACACACTCTATTGGTATGTCTTTTTGGTGTCTTGGATGAAGAGGAATGCACAAAAAGTGTATTCTTACAGGAAACCTTATTTATGGCTCGTAAACGTAATAGTTCTTAAGTGGATGCAACTCAGAGTATCTGTGATTGCTCACTGGATACAGATGGTAAATCAGATTGTCTCATATGAGAATTTGATTTATCAGCATAGGAATTTCCCTAAGAAACACGCCAAAGTTTGGGGAGCATGGATGGAGTCTGATTTACATACAGGTTCTACTGACTTGAGGTGGTTTGTGGCGATCCATTGTTTGAAATATACTGTATAGTCTTTACTTTCGTTTATGCGCTTTTGTATTTTGGTATTATGAGTGTATTTCTCTATTTAAGAGCCTTCTTATTATCGGATATTTTGTGGAACAGTTCCTGTTACTTTAGCTTCAATATGTCCTGTTATATTGTCTCTTCTAATTTATTTTAATGGAACTGTATAATTTCTTTGAAATGAAGAGAGTTTAACCACCTCCCGCCGCCAAAACGTAGGAAAACTGCTGGACGGGAGCCTTGTAGATGCGGGTGGGCGTCTTAAAACGTCCTTTGTGCCCGCGCCCTCTTGATTGGGAAACTGCCAAAATTTGAAACAGCCAGCGGTCGCTGTTTACATACAAGCGGTCGGGCATCCAGCTGAGAGTTTTACTATTAAAGGGCACATAAGCCAAGTAAAACATAGCATTTTCAGCTCACAGGAAGAAGGTTGTATATATAAAAGATTTATTGATATAGATGTTGAGGTAAAGCTCTGGAGGCCTGTTGGTGCGTTGTCTAGTTTTTCATATCCAATGCATTATCCTTTCTTTCTAAACATTTTCATTTCCTGTTCCTCTCACCAGATTTGACTATCTCTACACACTGGAGACTGATACTGATGTGGAGATCTCAGAAGCGGATCGCTGCTTCGAAGATCTCGGACATCTGGGCTACACTGTGGAAAAAAATAGGTACCATCCAATATATAAGGAGTAACATCTATTGTGTGAGGAGTCACATCCATGAGATGCTATTTAAAGATTTCCAAGATGATTATGAGCTATTCCCACTTTCGAGTTTTTCATGTACACAAGTCTTCTGTACAATAAAGCCAAACTCTAGAGACTCTTAAAGATAAACCCTTCGATGTTTAAATCCCCTCATATACATCTCATTATTAAAACCTCCATTATTTATACACACTGCCTGGCCAAAAAAAAAGTCTCCCCCTCAATTTAGCTAAGCAAATAGATCTGAGCCTTCCATTGGATAATGACTGCAGTGATCAATATGTGTCATCTGGAAACATGTTCTTTAAACCTAACTGATACATTGAGGAGCTTCTCATTTCTTACACAACCGTGTCAAAGGACATATCCCGTGGTCGTGGAAAAGATGGAACTCTGTTTCTGAAGGGTCTAATTATTGGCCGGCGTCAAGCAAAGATAACACCTAAGGAAATGTATAAAACTACTACAATTGGGTTATTAAATGTCCAACTCATTCTTAAAACTTGGAAGGATGGTGGTGAGCCATCATCATCTTTTAAGGAAGAAATGTGGTAGGAAAAAATCTTGAATGATGGTGAGTGGAGGTCACTTAAACATTTGGTGAAATCAAATCATAAAAATTCATCAGTAGAACTCACAGCGATGTTTAATTGTGAAGTAAAAGCATTTCCACATGCACAATGTGAAGACATCTCAAGGGATCGGTACTAAACAAACAGCTGTGCAGCCTTGAGAAAGCCACTCATCGGTGATGCTAATCAGAAAAGAGGCTGCAATGTGTTAGGGAGCCTAAAGATTGGACTCTGGAGCAATGGAAAAAGGTCATGTGGTCTGATGAGTCCAGACTTACCCTGTTCCAGAGTGATGGGGGCATCAGGGTAAGAAGAGAGGAGGATGAAGTGAAGCACCCATCATGCCTAGTGCCTACCGTATAAGCCAGTGGGAGCGATGTTATGATCTGGGGGTGCTTCAGTTGCTCAGGTCTAGGTTCAGCAACATTCAGGGATCATGAGACGTCATCGTCACACATGGATTGGCCACCACGGAGTCCAGACCTGAACCCCATTGAGAATCTGTGGGATGTGCTGGAGAAGACTTTACACAGTGATCCAACTCTCCCATCTGGACGGAAATAAATGTTGTGATGTTGTATAAGCTTATCGAAACAATGCCACAGTGAATGCGTGCTGTAATCAAAGCTAAAGGCGGTCCAACAAAAATATTAGCGTGAGTGACTTTTTTTGGCCAGGCAGTGTAGGTCCCTAATACACTGTGGGGGGGAATGTATCAAAACTGGAGCAGAAGAATCTGGAGCAGTTGCCTATGGCAACCAATCAGCTTATCTCTTCCCTTTGTTCAGTTAAGGATTGACAATGAAAGGTCGATGCTGATTTGCCATGAGCAACTGCTCCAGATTTTGTCTGCTCCAGTGACCATACACAAGTCTGAACCGAGCGTGAGCGTCACAAGGACGTGGCGATAGCACTCTCAACCTCACCCTGCGCAGAGATTTCCCAGTTCGCAGGACACAATCTCAGGCCAGCAGACTGAGAGCGATCGTCACCAGGGTTGGGTAACTCCGCAGTTAAGCCTTTACCCACCAAACTTCCACTGCCACCATGTGTTTTTCGGAACACAAACCGTGCCCAGCAAACGCTGCGACCATTCAAAACACTTAAACAATGCCTGTGATAGCGTCCTCTCAGACAGGAATATGACAGGAGTCACTATACAGTAGCACTCTTCAAAGAGCAAGGATACTTTAAGTTTGTATTTAGAGCGTAGAGAGAAGCTTAACGATTTTTAATATTATTAGGGTTTCTGACTTTCGTGGGGATGCGAGGTCATCACCTAGCAGACCTGCTTGTTTATTTTAAAATGTCCCCTCGTAATGTATGGAGGGCCTAGTGCCATGCCTTTTTACGACGGTCATAAAAGGCTTACAGAGATTTGTTGGAATGTGGTGGGTCAATTATAAATGAAGACCTGCAGGTGCTCTGAACTGGGGCACAAACAAATTCTATTCTGCAATATTCAGACTCAAATCCCCCATCATCGTCACAATAAATTCCCATTATTGTATGTAAATACTAACAATGAACATCCATTTTGGTCTTTTAAATACTAAATTCTCAAATACTCAACTATATTCAATGGTCTAATATACCACTAAAAGTATTTTGTTAAATCAGTCTGATACGTAAAAAAAATACCTGCTGTAATTCAGTGCTGTCCAATGTTTAGTGTTCACTTCCTGTGCTATCTCAAATCTAATTAGCCCTCCCAGTCTTTATCTTGGGACTAAAAAAATAATAGCCTTTATGTTCTGGAGATGGGAGTGTAGGTTGGTCTGAGTAGTTTGGCAAGAGGAAACTGGGCAGGGCTGACACCACTCCGTTCATAAAAAATGCTATGTGTTGTCAGCCTACAACAGGACTTAGGGACTCAGTGCATTTCGGGCAGATCATAAGGTATTTTTCTGTACTTGCAGGGTCTTTAAATGGATAAAACAGGTGGAGCATGGGGGTCTGTTGCTGAAAGGAGAGCTTGCAGGCGTGGTAAAAGCAGGGGGGTGGTGTTAGACACAATAGTGGGAGCAGGGGCAGGGCATGCAGGCATTAGTTAAGAATATGGGGGCCAGCTACACAGGTGCATTGGTGAGAGCTGGGGAGGGGACATGGAGGTGTGTGGTAAGAGCATGCACAGGCACCGTGGAGAGAAACAGTGGAAGTAGGGGTATAGGAGTGGTAAATGGTAAGAGAAAGGGGTGGCCAGGCAGGTTTGGTGGTAAGTGGCAGTGCATAATGATGGGTGCTGAGAAAAGGGGAGTGGCAGGCTTATTTG